ACCTGTTCTTCCTCCCACCTATCCCCTCCTCCCACCTCAAGCCGCACCTCCATCTCCTACCGACCAACCTCATCCCGCCCCCTTGACCTGTCCGTCCTCCCTGGACTGACCTATCCCCTTCCTAACTCCCTACCTACACTCACCTTTCCTGGCCCCATCCCCGCCTCTTCGACCTGTTTGTTTCCTCTCCACCTATCCTCTCCTCTATCCCTCTTCTATCCGCCTCCCACTCTCTCCCTATTTATTTCAAAACCCCCTTCCCCTCCCCCTTTTCTGATGAAGGGTCTAGGCCCGAAACGTCAGCCTCTCTGCTCCTATGATGCTGCTTGGCCTGCTGTGTTCATCCAGCCCTGCACCTTGTTGTCTCGGATTCTCCAGCATCTGCAGTTCCTACTATCTCACGCAATACATCAAATCCAGTTTCAACAATAAAATTATGCAAAGTACATTGAGATAACAAAGAAGAAACTAAGCTTGACGTAATCAGTGCAAGATGAAAAGCTTCAACAAAATGGGTCTTTCTTCAGCAACAGTCAAGCTCTGCACTACTAAGCTGCTATTTAAAGTATTTAAAGTCAAGGGAGATACACGGTCCGCCATGGCTCAGAAGGACTTTTCTCATGCAATCTACTGCTCTTCACCTCATTAGGTATGCAACTGGCTCTTAAGATCCTTTCTCGGGGAACTGCATGATTTGAGTGGTGGATGTGCTTGCTATTGATAGGACCTGCCAACATTCATGCATTGGCACCATATTTAAGGTCTGGCCGCGCACTATTTCAGATGTTACAAGCCGGAAGCTGCCCCTCAAACTGTGCTGGACCAGTTTCTCTCTTTAAAATATGGAACAGATGAAAGGAAAGCTCTTGACCTCCTTTGCAGACAATGAACTAGAGGTGTAGGTGGATGGATTGATGGAAAGGAGATCATAACTTTCTCCAGCAGACTGTGACACCAGACCAAGCTAGCCTGGACCCAAATTGCAGCCCATTGGGTCAGTGCAGTGCCCTAGCTGAAGCAGGATGCCTAGCAGTGCAGGAAATGGTCAGTTATCTCAGTGAAGGCAAGTGTAAGTGCCACCACCTTCTTTCAGGTACCTCACACTCATAGATCCGCATTTCACTCAAAGTTTGCCACTACACATACCTCTAAACAACGTTCATGGACTACAGCTGTCATTATTTCATGCATCATGTGCACTCAATAGTTCTCTCCTACCCCAGCCTCTCAAATGACTACCTCTTCCTCCATCAGTGATTCATTCTCATTCCCTAGGGACATCACACCACCTCTCCTGCACCTGCATCGCCAGTGATTGCTCTTGCATCCATTGCCATGGTACTTAGTCCCTCCCTTCATCTCATTGTAGGAAAATTTAACTCACCCACCCTGGATTGACATCTCCATAAAACTCTAACTGATCTACCTGGAATCCCTGAACTTGTTGCACTTGACCTGCACAACTAAGCATGGTTTAATTCTGGACTGCAAGAAGAGGGATCCACAGATTCTGGGAAGACCAAGTGCCTGATGGACCTGATGGTAAGGGTGAAGACAAGCTCGACCAAGTGGAGGAGGGTGGTGGTTGGTAGGAATGGTTCAGGTGTATGCTCCAGGAAGAAGCGGAGTGTCCTAACACCCTCACCAACTTAATTCCTCTCATTTTCTTCAGGTCATTGGGGTGGCCATGGATACCTGCACGGGCCCCAGTTATGCCTGTCTGTTCGTGGGGTATGTGGAATATTCCTTGTTCCAGTCCTATTCCAGGCCCCACCCACAACTCTTTCTCCAATATATCTATGATATCATCGGTGCTGCTTCCCTCTCTCGCCCGGAATTGGAAAAGTTAATTGATTTTGCTTCCCTGCCCTCACTTTCACCTGGTCTATCTCTGACTCCTCCCTTCCCTTCCTCGACATCTCTGTTTTCATTTCTGGGGATAGATTGGCCACTAATATCCATTACAAACCCACTGACTCCCATAGCTACCTGGACTATACATCCTCGCACTACACTTCCTGTAAAGACTCCATCCCATTCTCGCAGTTCCTCCATCTCCGTCGTATATGCTCAGATGACGCCACCTTCGACAAGGGAGTCTCCAAAATGTCCACCTTCTTCTTCAACCAAGGATTCCCCAGCACCGTTGTCAACAGGGCCCTCAATTGGGTCCGACCCATCTCCCACACTTCCACCCTCACCCCTTCTCTTCCCTCCTGCAACAGCGACAGGGTTCCCCTTTGTCATTACCTACCATCCTATCAGCATCCACATCCAGAAGAACATCAGATGTCATTTCCGCCACCTCCAGCGAGATGCCACCACCAGACACATTTTCCCCTCATCTCCCTTGTCCACCTTCCGCAGGGACCGTTCCCTCTGGGACACCCTGGTCCACTCTTCCTTCACCCCCCACAGCCCCAGGGCACCTTCCCCCGCAACCGGCGAAGGTGTAACACCTGTCCATTTACCTTCTCTCTCCCCACTATCCGAGGACTCAAACCTACCTTCCAGGTGAAGCAACACTTCTCTTTAGCTGCTCACAATGTGGTCTCTTCTACGTTGGGGGAAATGAAACACAGACTGAATGACAGCTTCGCAGAATATCTACGTTCTGCTCGCAAAAACGACCCTGAACTACCTGTTGCCTTCCACTTTAACACACCATCCTGTTCCCTGGCCAACATCCCTGTATCCGTCTTTTTGCAGTGTTCCAGCAAAGCTCAATGTAAGCTGAAAGAACAACACCTCATTTTCCGCTTGGGGACCTTGCAGCCCTCCGGACTCAATATCAAGTTCAATAATGTTAGGGCCTCAACTCTCCCATGTCCCAGCCCCCTACCCCACACACCAGGCCTTATTATCACATAGCCTGCCATTCCGCACTACCTATTGTTAGTCACTAACAGTCCCCATTAACAGCATTCACCTTCCTAGGCAGATCATTATCAACTCCTTTGTCTAACCAACTGCTCTTCTCACTCTTTGGGCTCTATCCTATCATTTACTCCCTACCCCATCCCCCTCCCTATTTCCTGCATATAAGCCGACATTTTCCCAGCTGCCATCAGTTCATCAGTCACCAGACCCAAAACGTTAACTTTGAGTTTTTCTTCACAGATTCTGCCAGACCTGCTGAGATTCCAGCAACTTTTATTTTTGTTCCTGATTTACAGTAGCCACAGTCCGTTCCATTTTTATTTATGATCAGTTGAATGTCAGTTCTAAACGATAATGAGAAACTGATGCTAAGTGCAGAATATTCTTTGTCTTTGCAGCAATGAACAGAAGGACACATGGTTCTAAGAATAAACATTTTGTTTTGTTTTGCCCAACATTTTTATACATTTCAATGGTATTTTTGGTTAAATGATGTAGCACTACGTAGAGCCCACAGCAGTGTAATAGAAGACAGCTGATAATGCCTGTTGCACATTTAAGTCTTTCAGTAATCAAAATTTAGCTTCAACCTATCAGAATATGACCAACATAACGATGTAACTAATTTAATCTTCCACAGGATGTGTAACTGACAAGGCCATTATTTGTTGCTCATCCCCAATTGCCCTTGAACTAAATGGCTTGGTACTTAGTTAACAGTCAATTACTTTTCTGCAGTTCTGGGGTCACATGTAGATCAATCCAGTAGGGACGACAGATTTCCTTCCCTAAAGGATATCAGATGGGTTTTTGTGCAAATCAAAGACAGTTTCGAAGTATTGATATTAACTTTCAATTTTAAATATTGGAAATTACATGAGGAGCTGTTGTTGGATTTGAACATGTCATCAGGACATTAGACTGGTAAGGCTCATATGCCTCTAGATTAGTAGCCCAGTAACATTACAATGATGTCATCATCTCAGGTCCCACACACCCCAATGGATACAGTTAATCTTGTAAACATGTTGACTGCCGATGAAAGAGTGGATGGATTGAACTTAGGAGGAAAGGACTTCTCTACTCAGGTCTTCTCAGGGCATCTCAGCAGTTTCATGTTCTTATTTGATGTTTTTTCATTACAGGTTAACTAATTTGAGAATAAATTTTGAATAACACTCATATATATTATGTTCTTCGCACTCTATGTGATGTAAGCACAGAATTTCTCTGCTAACATCTATTCAAAGCACTGCTGTTGTCAACCATATGTGCCAAAAAATGTAATACTTTGCCAAAAGTGTTAAAACACATGCTGTCTATGCAAGAATGCCCCTTGCACAATTCAAAAGCATAAATTTCAGTGAGTTTTTTGCTTTCTCTTCCAAGCAATTTTACAAATTTTCTTCAATAGTAGGACTGCCACCACTGCAACCATAATGAACAGTGACAACAGGAAGGTCATCACATCTACACAATAGTAAACGAACCAGGGGAGTCGGTAAGACTCTGACCGCAAATGTGCTGCCCCTTTGTGTCGAGCAACATATTCAATCCAGAAAATAGCTCTCTCCATCGGAGTCTCGGGTTGGTCTCTGTGGAGAGCAGAGAGTTTCTGCATATTCTCCCGATAAGAGGTGTTATGTATAACCTCATTCAGTGCCTGCAATAGATCCGTTGACTGCATGGTTGCAATGTTAATCACTTTTGCTGCACCTCGGATTTCAAGTCTGAGTAAATTATCAAACTGGTCAAAAAGCAATGGCATTCCAACTACTGGCACCCCATGATAGATGGCTTCGTAAACTCCATTGGTGCCACCATGGCAAATTAAGGCTCGTGTTTTGGGATGCCCGAGTAGATCATTCTGAGGGATCCATTTTGCCAGTAGTGTATTATTTCCAATGTTGGGAGGGATATTTCCATCATGTCTCCAGATAACTTTCGGAGGTACTTGAGCAAAGGCCTCTGCTATTTTCATTGTCATATGCATTGGCAAAGAGCCAACAATGGTCCCCATTGACATGACAATAATCCCATGTTCCCCTGAGGACTGGACAAACTCTTCAAACTCTGTCTCCAGAGGTTTGGATGGTTTACACTGGAATCCTCCAATATAAACAATATTTGGCATGGTGGGTCTCGGGAATTCAAATGTAAAATCTACTCTCACCAGCCACACATCTGCCCTTAGAAGAATAGTCTTGACATCTGTGTCTGGGCCCAGATAACGATGGCAGAGTTCATTGTAAATTGGGTGAACAATAAATTCTGTAATCCATAGTTGAAAAAGATTTATGATGACATTTTGTGTTCTTTGGAGAAAACTCATTTTATCTGTCAATCGTGAGCCAAGGAATGGCACATAGGACAGTGGTGATGGGGCAATTAGAAAATGAGCATCTCCACTGCTAAGTAAACGAACATTATATACCAAGGGGAGTTTTAAATAATATGCCAGCATTGCACCTGTTGTAAAAAAGGGATCAGTGAGTATTAAGTCAAAGTTTGCACTTTCAAGTCGTTTTAACAAAGTTTTGTTTTCAAAAACTGCAGTGTTAAACTTTTGAGCCCAGCTATGATATTTGTGCAGAAATGCTGACACATCATTTTGGAACTCCACGAAAGTCCATAATGTTGATTCATTCTTCATGGCTTTTAGTTTATTTTGTACAAATTGTGCTATAAATTCTTCATTTGAACTTTGTTTAAGGAATCCTTGCATTTCAACCACAATGGATTGATATAGATCTGGCCTTTCTTTGATGTACCAAGCTGTTGAGAAAAATAGCACACTGATATCATGACCATGAAGTTTCAGCTCTTCGATTAGAATTCTCATATTGACCCAATGACTACCTTCGATAGGTACAACCAAAATATTAGCACCATCGTTAATTGGACATGATAGAATCATAATGATACTCAGAACGTATGCGACCTGGAACCTACTTTTCCATTCAAGACACTCCATGTTGAGAGTAAATTGCATCCAGATTCTGTTGAAAAGTTCAGAAGAAACACAACATAAATTTAGGAAAAATAACATAATAAATAGGAGCAGACATAGACTATAATGGCCCATGAACCTGCTCTGTCTTTAAATCAGATGGATGAAATATGTTAACTCCATTTTCCCACTAGTTCCCTTGATTCTTACGTGCCCAAAAATCTACTGATTTCAATCTTGACCATTCTTGATGACTGAAAATCATGAAACTGTGTGATAGAGAATTCCTAAGATTCATAACCATGTATGAAAAACCTTAACTTCATCTGAATAACAGGTGGCCAACCACTTATCTGATGCTATGACCCTGTGTTGCATACCCTCGATAGTAAGTTTACATTTCCTTAGGTGGAGAGACCTGAACTAAACATTGAGTGTGATCTCTCCAAAGTAATATAGTAATGGCAGCATGTCTTCCTTATTCTTGTATTGCAACTCCCTTCCAACAAAGTATAGTTTATCATTTGCTCAATTGCTTTTGTGCCTGTAGGTTCTTTTTAATGATTTGTATTCTAAGACCCCGAAGCCCCATGAATTGTAATATTTACTATTTCACCTTCTAAAAAATATTCTGTCCTTCCATACTTCTGAACAATGTGAATTTTTAGTACAATTATGCCTTTACAGTTCATTGCTTTAATGAAATGTGATCTCTGGCTGAATGACATCTATAAGACTCAACTTAGGATGCCATAAAGTAGATTGTGATGGATTTGCAGTTGATGAGCAAGGAGCATCCAGTCCCAACACAAGATCAGGGAACAGCAAGTTCTCCAATGCATCAGGGACCAACATTTTCCAGCACAATGCTGCAGGAATAGAAAGCACAGAATAAGAGTAAGTTCCAAACCAGTATATGAAATAACAGCAAATTCCAGCACAATGGAAGCGCTGAGAACTAAAGTTCCACCATAGTGACCTTGTCTGCTCCACTCTGCTGACTTGCTATTCTGAACTGTCCTGTCACAGATATAAGGTTTGACCTTACTTGACAGGAATGGGAATCACCTGAGCCCCTGAGCCTTTACCTTTCAGAGAATAAAAGTTATTGTAATTGCAAGCTTTTTGTGGTCTCCTATCTGAGCCAGATGTTGTGTGATTCAGTAAAAACAAAGTAGTAACATTGTAAATAACTTCAACATAAGTTGCAATTATGTCACATGGACTGCCTAATTATCACCATTGTGAGGGACTAGGGTCATGGTGTAGTAATTGTTCTGAATGTAAACATCCTGTGCTCACTAGTGAGATGCTGCATTGCCATAGCGTATTTAAATGCAATAATGAACATGACAATTTAGTATTGCACTAACCAATGGTTGGCAAACAGTTGGCTTCAGGATTGCTATTCCCACAGAGCTCCTATCTAGAAAAGTTTGGAATTATGGTGAGGTCTGGATGAGGTTCAGCTGATACATCCTCAATCCACACTGTCTGGCCCTTTGATTAAGCATTTTGCAAATAGCATGAAGAAGATGTTGTTCAAATGTGACACTTTGCAGCATACTCAAGAGAAGACACGATGGATGAAGATAAGTTATTTTCACTGTTTGGGAATTCTAGAACTTGAGGGTATAGTCTAAAAATTAGGGCTAGACTGTTCAGGAGAAATGTTAGGAAGCACTTCTACACGCAAAGGGTGGTAGATGTTTGGGACTTTCGTCCACAATTGGCAGTGGATGCAAGATGTTAGATTTGATTTTAAACCTGAGATAGAAACATTTTTTTGTTAAGCAAACATATTGAGGGATATGGGCCAAAGGCATGTGTATGGAGTTAGGCCACAGAACAGCCATAATTTCATTCAGAACAGGCTTGAGGAGCTGAATGGCCTACTCCTGTTCCTATGTTAGCATTTTATGGTTACAAAGGTGCTGGATTAAGTAATGATACCAGCATAAACAGGGCAACTAGGGTATCAGGGCATATTGGTGAATATTGCTCAAATAGTGAATTTCCTAAATTAATGGAAAACCAATGGCATTTAAGGATTGAAAATAGGTATGAACTATTCGGAAGGTCACACTTTCCAACTAAGCTTACACTCAGGAATTTAATTGTAGTGGAGGCAGGCACTTGTTGCTGCCTCCTTTCTCTCAGTTACTTTATCATGACCCCATAGGAAGAGTCTGAGGTGTTGAGGTAGCTTGACAGCTGCAGCAGATAGTTGGTATGGAGGGTTTCTCTGCTTTGTCCCTTTGCTGCAGTCCACACTGTGTTGCTAGTATGTCATATCCACTGAAAATACAAACACTTGTATGTGTCACTTCATGCCACCATGTCACCTTTCATGAGACCTACCAGGCCACAATTATAATATGAAGCTTTCCTTCATCATAAGGTCAGAAGCAGGGATGTTTGCCAATGATTGCACCAAGCGCGACACTATCCAGATTTCTGCTGACAAGTGGCAAGTAACATTTATGCCACAAAAGTGCCAGATAGTAACCATCTCCAACAGGAGAGAATCCAACCATTGTCCTTCGTCATTCAATGGCGTCACAATCACTGCTTCACCCACTGTCAACATCCATGGGGTTATCATTGACTAGAAACTGTTCTGGATCAGCCATATAACTACAATGGGCTACAAGAGCAGATCAGAGGTTAGAAATCCTGCAGCAAGGAACTTACCTCCTGACTTCCCTAAAACCTGTCCGCCATTTACAAGGCATACGTCAGGAGTATGATGGAGTACTCCCTACTTGCCTGGATGACATTCAAGAAGATGGACACCAACCTGAACAAAGCAGCTAGCTTCATTGGCACCACATCCACAAACATCCAATTCCTCCACCACTGATGCTCCATAGCAGCAGTGTATGCTACCTACAAGATGCACTGTAGTAATTCAGCAATGCTGCTTAGACCGCAACTTCCAAACTCTTAACCATTGAGAGGGACAAAGGCAACAAATACATGGGAACATCACCACCTACAAATTCTTCTCCAAGCCACTCACCATCCAGACTTGAAAATATATCACTGTTCCTTCCCCGTTGTTGGGACAAAATCCTGGAATCGCTCTCCCTAACAGCATTGTGGATCTACCTGCAACAAGTGGACTGGAGCTGTTCAAAAAAGACAGCTCACTGCCACCTTCTCAAGGGTAACTAGGGACGGGTAATAAATGCTGGCCCAGCCAGTAATATTCATATCCCATGAATGAATTAAAACTAATTGAGAAGATAAGAGAGAAAACAGTTGCAATAAGATATCATCCATCTAAATCATTAATTTTGATTATCTGTCCACAAAACCGTCTCATCTGGGTTTTTTATGATTTCAGCAGCATTTTGCTTTTATGCTAAAATATTGGCTCATCTTTTGGACATACCACTTTAGAATACAGAATGAATTGATGAATCTATAAGTAGGATGACTCCAGGGATACAAACTATGAAAGGCATTGTTTTGAGGTGAGACAAGTGGCTTTGTCGCATTTTCCTCAACAGCAATGTGTTTAACAGAACTTTTCTTAGAGGCAAAAAGGAAGAACAATTTCCACTGATTGCTCAGTTGGTAAGTAGAAGGCAGAAATCAGATGATGGATGCAGTGTTTAGGAGCATGCATTTGATTTGTTCCTGCCAATGTAGAATTTTAATACCATTGGTTTTGACAGCAGGTAAGTGTCCCACAATAATCTGATGGAGGTCATTCATAAGTGCAAATTTTGATGTAAGGACATACTTAGGACCCTGATGGAATTTGTGCCCACTCCTTAAAGGAGCATTTGCAGTACTCACCTAACCAGGAATATCTGCCAGTATGACAACAAAGCTCACCAAAGAACTTTCATGACATGATTTGTAACCCTGAAAGCATGTTTGTACTCCACGATAAGCATTCTGAGTCTTTGCTGCCTTGGGCTCCAACCCGTTGCTGCACCCGTTCAAACTTTTCTTCCGTATATCAATCAGATATTTTGTTTGTTGTTTCTGTTTAATTCTGCGTATCCCACGTAGTATTTTGGAACAGTTCCTCTAATGCTCCAACAGGAGTTGGTCATTTAACAATCATACAAACTCCAACCTGATCCACTATTCAATACATTCAATCTGAAGCCCAGTATCCTATACCCAATCTTTCCTCAATGTGTTAATGCCTTTGGTTAACAAAAGGCGATTGATCATAGTTTTAAAATTAATAGCATCAACTGCCTTGTGCAGAGGAGCATTTCATAATTTGATTCATGAAACCATTTAAATTATTTTCCCCTCTCGTGTTAGAGTTGCCAACCAGCAAAAATCATTTTTCCCTACCTACCTTATATTAGCATAAGTTGCAGGAGCAGAAAAAAGCCATTCGCCCATCCAGTCTGCTCTGCCATTCAATTAGATCATGGCTGATCTGATAATCCTCAACTTAAATATCTTACCTCACCTCACAGCCCTTGCAACCATTACTGATAAAAAAAATCTGTCCGTCTCAGCCCAATCTCAATAGTGGTCTGCAATAAAAAAAATCTATCGATTCAATATTCTCTCACTGTCAAAATTCCATGACATCTCTGTACGGAGTGGGGGACCTATTACTCTGAGATTATATCCTCTAGTCCTAGACTCGCGCATATATGGAAACAACGTCTCTATGTCTACCCTGTCCAGCCTCCTAAGAATATTATATACTTCAGTAAGATCACCCTTCATTCTTTGAAACTACAATGAGTGCAAGACAAACGTACTCAAATGTTCCTTGTAAGAAAATCCTTCCATACCTAGGATCAACCTAGTGAACCTTCTCTGTACTTTTCCCCCTCCAATACCAATACATCTTTCCTTAGGTAAATGGAACAAATCTGTTAACATTATTCCAGGTGTGGTCTAACCAGTGCTTCGTGTCTAAATTTAGTGAGACCACTCAATTTTTATGCTCCATTCCCTTTGAAATAAAGGCCAAAAGCCCATTTTCTTTTCCTCTTATCTGCTGAACTTGGACACTCTTTTTTTGTGTGATTTGTGCATGGTGATCCCCAAATCCC